TATATATATATATATATATATATATGTAGGGTTTGGGGTCTATAATAAAAGTTAGTAGTAGTACTAGTAATAAAGAGTTATTACGTACAAGAAGAGGCATTTATTAATGGCAAATAAGCAATAAGGAGTTAACCGTTATATATATCAGCAATAAATAGCAGCTGCAGCAAATAGCAGCAGCAGCAAACAGCAGCAACAGCAAGTAACGGCAGCACCAAACAAAAGAATTATATATACACATTAACACTAATAAGGGTGATAAAGGGACAATATAAAGAGAAAGAGATTATATAAATATATAGAGGGGGAAATGAAAAAAAGTTAATAATAAATTATTAATTATTAACTATATTATGAATAGAAGAGAATAAAGAGGGTAGTAAAAAACATATCTGATTAAGAAGAGACTCATACCCACTAACAACCGCACCATAGTAACACATTCATCATTCAATACAGCCCCACCACCCTCACCACCATAAACACACTAATAATAATACGTAAATAATGAAGAAATGGCACGGAAACGCGGGCCAACGAGATACGTCAGATTGGGGGCCCCCACATGCCTGTAGTATTGGAGGGTTTTACGGAGGAGAGGTTAAAAACAGCAAACGTCATGCTGGAAGACGTCCGTTTGATCCCCAGTGACCCACAGAGAGAGCCCATATGCGCAGCAGCAGTAGCCGAATCGAACCTCACTGAAGTGTTCTCTGCTATTTGTTAGAGACAACGCAGCTGGTGGGACTCAGATGGGACCTTGCATGAAACCACAGGGCCTGTTTAACGCGGATTCCCGTTGCATAGGTTTTGAAATACCCCGTCACTTTGGTTTCATTCGCGTCACTACGTAAACGTTTAAAATAAATTTACAAGAACCGAAAAATTTTCTCTGCCGCTTTGTTGGTGTTCTTGGTGTCCATCATGGATGGATGACGTGGGATTGGCGTCGCCTTTTAAGGTCCTTAAATCACTAGACACTTACGTGTCATTTGGCGTGGTGTGCTTGGTACTCAAATCACTCGTCATACTGCATACTATGAGTGACGACGTGTTGATGTGGATGATGTCACTCAACGGATCCAACACGCGGCCATCTAACTGTTCGGCAGTGGGAGGCAGTTACGGTCGGACTTGCTTTTTTCCTTCATGCCACAGCTGCCTCATTGTAGGCTGTTTGTGTTTGCAGGCCACTAATCACTGCATTTTGTGGAGTATCCACAGACTCTTTTTTAGTGAACTGCACGCTGCAATGAACAACCCCCTCCCCATAGAAATAGCATGTCGATGTGCCCTTATTTCGTACGATGGCAAACGGTCGAACCTAATGATTAAGTTAGGATCAAGCATACATACCCACCTACTGCGACATTATTGGGTTTGTGTGTCCCGCACTTCTGCTCGAGTTACTGTGCCACCTGCTGCAACAGCAGCAGCTGCTCTTGCAGCTGCAAAGCATCCAGGGTGCACAAGGAGCTCCTGGATGTGCTGCTGGACGGGCACAAAGACGCTGAAAATATGCACATTTTGGCTGGTTGGCTTCACATAAAGACCACGTTGCGCAGCGCTTAAAAGACTCATGGAAATATGCATGCACGCCACAAACCACTCATGCACGCATGCTACACATGCACAGTCATGCGGCATCCCCTGTCTGTCAGTCATTAAGGTTCAAATCTGATTCGCAGGAGAACCCTACTCCCTGCGAATTGCAGTAATGAGGGGCCTGGAAAGAAAATGTAGGAGCCTGTGGAAGGCATTTTGCCCTCTAGTTGTTTTCCGTAGGCCGCAACTCGCCTACAGAAATTCACGAAGTGATTTTTATAGCAAGCAGCTTCACATCTTGCAAGGGCTTGTCGTTTTGATTCGTCTTCACCTGCAGATACACCGAAACGAAGGGGTAACGAGATGGGTTGGCTGCGAGCTGCATGCAAAGTCGGCACTTATAAGAAAACCGAGGCAAATGCAATTGCTAGCAGTGATGCAACAATTGGTAGGGCATCTACCACGGGAGAACATTGTAGCTGCACTATCGGCTGGCAACTGGTCTCAGCGTATTTACAACTACGGCGGTGTCTTATTGCATGGTCTCGTGCACTGCATGCATTGAGTGCGTTTTTCGAGGAAAAGGCATTTTGCATGCAGTTCGTGTACGAGGCGGAGGTTAACTGCGCGCTTACGCCCTCGATCTTGAGCACGACGTCCGCGCCGTGAGTAACTCTGCCGAAGACCGTGTGCTTCATGTCTAGCCAGGGACAGGGAACAGTCGTAATAAAAAACTGGGAGCCGTTGGTATTGGGGCCCGCGTTGGCCATTGAGAGAGTAAATGGTCGGTCGTGCTTCAGCGAACGGTGCAGCTCATCTTCAAAGTCGCCGCCCCAGATTGACTCCCCTGCAGTACAGACACCACAAATGGTTTCCATCTGCCAGCTGTAATGCACTTCTCTCAGAAGCAGGACATATGGGTGCATGCATGCAATTACAGCTGGGAACCACTCTCCAAGACCCAGAGCGCGAGCACATCATAAGCAGCCGCAGAAAAAACTCAAACAGCAGTGCAGGGCAGTGGGAGCTTGCACAAGTAAGAGAGAAGAATACTATCGAAAGCAGAGACTCAAAACATGAGACACAGAAGAAGAACCACGACTTCAGAGGCACAAGCACCATCGATGCTGCAAGAATTCACTGGATTTCCCCCCCGTTCAGCCCCAACAAATGCATGTCCCGCTACATGCAGGTTCATGCATGCATGCATGTCTGAATGCCACAAAGCCCTTACCGCCTGTTCCGTCGCCGTTGGGGTCTCCTGTTTGAATCATAAAGCCCTTAATGACTCTATGGAACAGCATGTTATCGTAGTAGCCATTGCGCGCATGCACAGTGAAGTTTTCGACCGTCTTGGGGCATTCTGCCCCAAACAACTTCACACGAATATCCCCAAAGGTAGTGTGCAAAGTCGCCGTCGATCCCACGCGCTGGGCAGGAGTAATTGCAGAGGCCCCACTGGCAGCTGCGACCGCAGCAGCAGCAGAGCACACCCATCAGGAAGAGAGCATTCGGTCAGCAACAAACCTTCAGGCACGCCGGAGTTGAGGACACGCATAACAAGAACAAACCCTAAACCATAATTCCTCACCACTCAATGATTCCTGCTCCTCCTTAGATGGCTTCTCGTTGAAAATGTCTCGTGTGTCCAGAATGCTTTCTGAGGGGGCCTCCGCAGTGAAGAAATAGACCCTACAAGAAAAGCACCAAACAGGCACGGCTGTCATCAAATGCCTTTCCCTTAGCATAACCTAATACACCGTAACAAGTACTTCAAGCGCTCATGTGGGTTGACAGCATCTGCTGCTACGATCGCTGGACAATTGCACACACCTCTTTTTCTTGAAGGCCGAAGCAACCATAATTGCATCGTTGGTTCCCATTGTCGTCTTGGCAACCCGCTGTCCAGACACACAAAAAAAAAAGAAAAGCGGCATTAAAAGAAGGAATTATCAACAACCCGCTGTATGCAGGCCCTGAACCGTAATCCCTTAACGCTAAACCGCTGGTAAGAAATGTAAAGAACTCCTCGCCTCACTCGCGGTAAATACGGCTGCTGCAGTGCAATTGCCAAATACCGCAGGCCCTGCTCGTGGCGGCCGATAAAGCGGCAAACCTGAACATACAACAGTCCTACGCCCGACACTCTAAACTCCAAACCCTGTAACCATAGATCCTAAACCCCATCACCCTGTAGCCCTAAACGCTGAACCGTAGAAAACAAAATCGCATCCCCCAACATCCCTCAAGGGTAGCTAGGTCCCCTTCAAGGTGAAAAGTGCTACATGGTGCGACAGCGATAAAATCCTCTTTAGCCCTGGGCCATCGCACTTTGTTGTCGAGAATGTTTAGGACCTTGACGCCTAGAAGAGTTGGATAAAGCAGAAAGGACGAGGAAGAATCGAAAAGGAGGTTCTGGTGAAGTCGCAATGGCGACCGACTCAACTCCTTTTCTAGCGCCGCCCGCTGCTCGAAGTCCAACGCATCCTGATGCAGCAAAGCGCATTGCGGATCCTTCTGCGCCATCTCGTAGTACTGAAGCCAACGCAGACAAGAGCAGAAGACGCAGAGAAGGAAGAAGTGGCGACACCAAGTAGTTTAGGAAGATAAAGACAGAGACACGTTGCAAGGCATCGGCCAGTGGCGACTTCCAAGATAGGAAGAAGAAGGCACGGCAGAAGGGAAACACAAAGACGGGGGCAGATACAAGGGGGATAGCTAGAGATGTGAAATTATATACCCTAAACACACAGATATAGAGGCAGACGAAGATACACCGCAAGTGTTGAGTGTTGAACCTTTTCACCCTCTCTGCAGCCCCAACGCAGCCCCGGTTACCCCGTTAACCGTGCCTTGACAAATACAAAAAGTGGCTAAACAAGTTCTCGAACCACTGTAAGTCGCTTATCTGTTAGCCGGGAGGTACCTGCAATGTCTCCAGATACACCCGACTCAGCTTTGCCCTCCGAACACCGAAAATTCGCAGGTGGAAATCGGCGCCGAGAACCGCCAGCCACTGGCCATTTGGACTCGCCGCGATTGCGAGGGCCGTAGTTCCATTCTGCGCAGCAAAATGACAAGAAGTAAATTTGCTGGTTGATTAGGTATATGAGCAGCAATCAACTGATCCACATTAGTTTGGCTGGGCTAAATAAGCCCAGAGAAATACAAACACGCACACCTTCATGGCAAGCAGGCAAGTGTTTTTATCTGTTTTATTTCAAGGGTTGCTTCCGCTGCAGCCACCCTGCCCCTTCATGAATGCATCTTTGTCTGGTAGCTTGCGGGACAGCTAGCTCGAGGAGACCAACACACGCACAACGACCTCCTCGTTCCCTCAGCAACGGAGCTGCCCAATGAGGCGCCTTCAGCCGACACCACTGAGGCAACCAACATTATACTACAAACTGACTCCGCACAACGAAGAAGAAGGCGCACGCAGAAATAACACTGCGTCGTTGCGCCAGGGGTTTTATACTCGATTTTGCTTAGGGCGTGGGTTAACAACAGTTAGGAAGAACAAAACAACACATAGAAGCAAGAGTGGTAGCCACATGCATTGCTAACTACAGCAGGAATCAAAGAATTGCGAAGAGAGAACAACAAAACACTATATTCACAGTATAAGGATTCGGTTCGCCGCCTTATGGAGTAAGGAAACGAACTTGAGTCGTCAATAATAGGCTGGTGCTGACAAAAAAAGAGACCTGCGCCGCTTTTAACACGAACTTCTGCTGCCACAAAGACAGGCGGATGAAACGACTTCAAGTGTACAGCGGCAACGAACGAGCGTTTGTGGTCTAGTGGTAGAATACCTCGTTGCCATCGAGGTGACCCGGGTTCGATTCCCGGCAGACGCATCCTCTTTCCGCCCCCTCCGTTTCATTGCAAATGCGCATAAAATTATATCTCAAGACGCAGTGGACCGTTTAAAGCGCTAAAATAAAAATACAGAAATTACGACATCTGACACGAGAAGTAGTACTAGCAGCTACAGGAGGGAGAGGAACACGCGGACAGAGACACGTCAAGAAAACGAACATGAGACAGAAGATTAGGCCCACGAGCACGAAACGAAGGCAGACAAAAACAGAGGAAGAATAAACGGAAGAATGGCATAAGAAGAGACAGGAGAACAGACATAAGAGGCTCACCCTTTGCAAGTCAAACAGATGGGTTTCCGCCTTAAACTCGAATTCGATTTGCTCCGGGTGGCTGACTTTTGATACTCTACGACCTGTATGTATACCCCAAAGCTCCAAGCCCCCGTCCTTGTCTGCTGAAAAACAAATGTCTGTACACCCCAGGTGAGCCAGCAGACGCACGGGCGCCCCGTGCAGCGAGAAGCTGACGATAGGCTTCGCCCCATGCAGCAGCGGTTTCAACACCACAACCTTGGGGCTTTCTTTGTCGGATCTGCAGTAAACACAAATACAGACACAACGCCACAGAAGAAAAAAATGCGAAATCGTGCTATGCATGCAAGAAATGCATGCAACCTCCCGCACACGCTGCCAGGCTTCAGCAGGCAACCTCCTCACGCCTTCAATAAACAGGAAGAACACTCTCCTAGGCAAGCATACGAAACTGATTATATTGTCATGCGCTCCCTTATGCACACTACACGAGATAGACACCTTTTCCCCCTGTTAATATGGGCGGGCGCACATGCAAAGAATTCAAAAAGCCACGCATTCAAATTGTTGTCCTGTATATCACCATCTATGCATCTCTGCTGCATGGAACACTCAAAAAAACACCGCCTGTCGATAGTCTGCAAATATCTCCATGCGTCCATATATATATTATAT